CTGCGCTCTGCGCTCGCCGCTTGCGCCCCGCGGTGCCGCGCGCTGCAAACCCGAGCGAGCCTGCTGGGTGGCGCCGGCTTCGCGCCGGATCCCGCCGTGGTGGCGGGCCGTTCACAAGCGGAGGTGCTGGGAGAACCGCAGTTGATTCTGCACGCCAAGGTCCGACTCGGGCTTGCAGGCAGTCTCTGGTTTCGAGCGATCTGCTGCACATCGGCACTGCGCCTCTGGCCAGACTGGTTTTCGGGGCCTTGAGAGGGCTCTGAACACAGGGCCTCCTGAAAAAGGCCACTGGAAGCCTGGATGCTGATGGCCGCGAGGTGGGTGGGACCTTCAGTCCAGCAGGGACACAGCCAGACCTCAAGAGGGGGTCAAGGGGTCGCGGGGACGGGGAGAAAGAAAATTCAATTTTTTTCTGTTCCTTCACCCTACAGTTTCTTGCGAACTCTCCTGGGAGCCAGAAGTCGAGGAAGTTCAGCTTGGGCTATTATTAGTTCAGGCAAACCGGCCTCCCCCTGGGGGACCAGGGTGGAAAAAAGCTGGAGCAGACCGGGTGGGAGAAGGTGGCTTGTCCACTGCAGACCTTCCCAGAAGCAGGTTTCCCTGTCCTCTTGCTGGAGCTCTAGTTTTACATTTTTAGCTGTCTTCTCAGCACTTCTGCTTGGATGGCCCATTCGAATTCAAGACGTCCACTTCTGTTCCAGGTGAGCTACCACACTAGGGTCCCTCGATGTTCATCAACGGTTTCAGGTCAATTTGACTCTCATTACAGTAGGGCTGGGTGTTGAGCCAATCAGGAACGGCTGTGACGCGGTGACTCTCGTTACAGCCCATTTATAAAATCTGCACAGTCCCTCTCTGAAACACTTTTCCGTTGTTCCTATCACCCCTAAAAGATCACGGTGACGTTCAAGCTGGTCTCGGGGTGGCACCTACCCTTTGCAGTCCACATCTCACACAATACCAGATGGCCTGGCCTGGGCCTTCCTGTGTGAGCCGCTCTTCTCTTCTCTTCCTGGAGGGTAAAACTCAACCCAGTCAGGGTCTCACTGCTTTCTCATTACACGGAAGTCTCCCTTAAGTGCCCTGGTGACCTCCCAGACCCTTGCTGTGCTTTGTTTTTCTTTTTTGATTCTGTCCTGAATATACCACATTTGCTTCTGTTTTCTGTACTTTTTCTCTGGGTGCCTGCCTCCACAGTGTCTGGCATCCTCTGTAACCATTCAGATCTTTTCCGTATCTTGGTCCTTCATATATTGTCTGTTTCATGAGTCAAAAACCTGAGGACTACAGGCCGCTCTGAGATCCCCTCTCTGAATTCCTTTCATGTTGCTGCATATTTCTGTGTACTGGGGGTAGGGGCACCCCAAATGAATCTAAGTTACACTCACAGTGGAGGGAGAAATCTACTTAAAGCAGATTGAATTAGTAGTAGTTGTCCAAGGAAATGTGTGTACTTACATATGTCAGCAACCAAACAAGAACAAAAAGCAGCAGTAACAACAACACAAACAAAACAAACAACCCAGGGACAGTTGAGCACTTCAGGCTAAAGTGACAGGATTGGAAAGAATAATCTCTTATAGTCTCCCAGCATTTGAAACCCCCATCCGGGCTTCTTAACCTCAATTTAATGGTGGTCTCATGTCATTTACTAGCACAGAAGAGTAAATTGAACGGAGACACATTTTCCTGGTCTGATACACATGTAGGATCCCAGAAGATAAGACAATCTGAAAGATAACAACTGTGGATAAAATGCCAGCTATTCAGGTCCGTGTTTGCTGTTTCAGGTTGCTCAGAATGAAGTTAACTATCTCCAGCATGAGAGCCGTCTCTTCAGCACAATTCAGGAGCATGATGGGTCTGGAAGGAACCCTTAAGATTCTCCTAGGACAGCAATTCCTTGCAAACTGTAGCGAGCACAAGAGAACGCAATCTGAGCAGTGGAGTCATCAGCAACTGCTGTGCTCAAAGCCATCCTGGACATTTCAGTCCTAGCCAGGCCCCATCTGAAGGTGGGTGCAGGGAGAAACCCGGTGAGACCCGCAGCAGGTCTGCCTGGCTAGACCCAGTAAACCCACAGTATTGTAACAAACAGTGCATTGTTGTTTTAAGCCACAAAATATGCAATGGTTTGTTTGGCTACAGTAAACAACAGGTAAGTAACACAGGAAAATCATCCTCCCATCACTTCCTTTACCTAAGGAGGGTTTAAGCAACAAACATTTGTATGGTGGGAAAGAGTTCTATCAGAGCACCCATACACACTTACCTACCTCTGCACCCTAGAGCCCTTTTAAAACTGCTCCCCCTTTACCAGCATGCATATTTGTACAAACCATGCTTTCATCTAATTGAGCCAGGCAGCCTTTCACACCCTTATAGTCTGTATTTTCAATTACTTATTCTACTGTCAACTTGATGGCTATCTCCTAGGTAGAATATAGTATTTCCATATAATATTGGGAATCCTTTGGGAGAGAGGAGGGTAGAACTCTGCATATTGGCCACATAGAGTACGTTCTTTGGTCCAGGGAGATATTGGAGAGGAACCAACTTGTTACATAATGCCTTGTTCTAAGCCTTTGGCTGTGCCTGTAGCTTTGGCTTTAGCTAAGATGAAATGTATCAAACATAGGTGAATCCTGTGGGGGCTACAAATAGTAACCCTGCATCCTATATTCAATGCCTTTTATGCTGAGAGCTCTGTAGCCTGATGTTCCCAAATGCCAACTTTAATGGGCTACATTTTTTGGCTCACCAGTCTCTTCCAACATTCATGGCTTAGGTAAGAGACAAATTGGAATATATCATTATCCCACCCATTACTGCATGACTTTGGCACTCCTGCGCCTACTCAAAAGTAGCTATCTGGGTAGCTACTTCCAGAGTGTTGCCAGGCCATCAACCGGCATTTTAGTCACCTTTGAAAGTCTTTCTTTCTTTTTCTTTCTTTCTTTCTCTTTCTTTCTTTCTTTCTTTCTTTCTTTCTTTCTTTCTTTCTTTCTTTCTTTCTTTCATTTCTTTTTTGAGACAGAGTGTTGGTATGTGTTCTGTTCTGGCCTTGAACTCACTGTGTAGCCCAAGCTGGCCTCAAACTCCTTCAGCTCCCAACTGTTGAGACATGCACTACCATGTGTGGCCACCTTTAAAACAATTTGATTCCTCTTGTGGGCATCTGTGTGACCTCCCTATCATCCTCCCTTGGAAATCCCACAGGGCCTGACTCAACCGCATGTCTAGCACCTGTGTGTCCATAATGTTAACTCATCAATATTCTCCTCTTCCTGACCATTGGCTTTTTCCTGGGACTCTGTGTGCAAATACTGTCCAGAGTAAAGAGCTAAGGTCTCCTTCCACTGCCATTTACACAGCTCTCGAGTCAGTGAGTAAACTTGTTCTATTTTGGTGGAGACTCTTGAAATTTAGACCATTCTGCCCGGGATGTGGATTGCTAATTAGGTGGCTCTATAGCAGAAATGTTGTCTGCTCAGGTATGTGTCGTAAGTCCCCACAGACACTGGTAATCATCTCTCAGGACATGATTTCTTTGGTTTGCATTACTATTTCTTTCTGATATCATCAGTGACATGATAGGTAGTTCTGACCTTATAAAATTTTCTTGATTATTTTTTATTTTTAAATATTTTATTAACAATACTATTTCTATATATAGATGAAATTCAGTGTGATAGTTCTTTTTTACTAGAGCACATTAATTATACACAATAAGGGGTCCCATGGTGGTATTTCCCTACATGTCTGTGATATATTGATCATTTGATCATTTTGATCAGTTCATCATATCCGTTCCGATTTTTGCCCTCTCTTGGCCTTCCCTTCCCTGTCTGTTTCTCTTCTTATATTTTCTAAGTCTTCTTTCTGCTTTCATGCCATATTTTTTCGCAGATACTTCATATGGGAGAAAACATCTTGGCACTTGTCTTTTTGAATCTAATGAAGTCAGCTGCATCCATTTTCTTACAAATGACGTGGTTTCATTCTCTTTGGCTGAACAACATTCCCCAAAACAGTGTCAAAAGGTTCCATTTTCATGGGTACTCTTTTTATGAGAGCCTTACAGCAAGGCTACCAAACAAGTACACTAGCCCCAATTATGAGAAACTTTTAAAAGCCAAAATTCCTAGTCATTGCCACAAGGTGGCAGTATTATATTGCAAAGTTTAAGTTGCTTGCTTTCAGAAGTCAGAAACTTCTGAAGTCCTGTAAATGTGTAGAAATCTTAGGATTTCATTAACATGTTTGGGTCGCTAACCATTATATGTTTTCCGTAGCTTTGCAAATAGTCTCTTGAGTTGTTGTGTCTTTTTTTTTTTTTTAATTAGGAGAGTCCTGGGGTGAAAGTAATGTATTATTTACTGTTTATAGAATATCTTTGGTGGCTCCAAGGCATTTTTACGTATTTCTCGGATTGGGGCAGGTTCTGAGTCTTAGCCGGATTAATCAATATTTGGTGAGTCATATTTGCTGTTACAGGTCTGAAGTTTTTCTAAGTTTCTCTTTCCAAGAGGGAATTGTAATGTCATCAGTATGATGAATTAACTTTATTTTTACAGTGATCATGTCTAAATACAATCTCACAAACTGGCAGTGGGTTGGAAAGGTCAGAAATCCTTGGGGAAAGCCCATATGTATATATTTCACTCCTCCGCAAACTGCTTGACTTCTCTCAGAGTGATGAGGAGGCAGCATTAGCTTAATCCAGACCTTTTGTAAAATTTGTACAGTGTCTAGCACAAGCAACATTTTGTTTAAGACATGGAAGTGTTGTTTAAATCATAATAGTTAGGAGTTTTCTCCAAGAATCTTTTCCTTTTCTCTTCGGCTACATAGGATTAATAACAAGCATTAGTGGAGAATAGCATTTTTGTTGTCATTATTTCTTAACGAAAGATGAGATTTTTTCCGTGTCTTTCCTGATGTTGACACTGCCTGATATTTACTATAAAGAATTATTTGATTAAGTCTCAAGGCTTCCATTTTGCATTAAAACTATGTGAAGGGCATCCTTATCTATTTCTTAAAGACATTTGGCTTTAAACTGGTAATAAAATGAACCTCTTATATCCATTCTAATTATGTATGCAGGTAAAAACAAGAACTGAATTTTTTCTTTCTTATTTCTCCATCTGCAATTGAGTAGTAATTCTGGTGCTATTTAGTGTAACATTTCCATGTGTTGTAAACTTCAATTTTCATATCATAATACTATACTGCCTTTCCATTCTCCTGCTGGCATTTGGTACATTTTGCATAATCATTATGTTTCAATAATTCCAAAAAATTTTCCACTGTCTTCTGCCACTTTATGGCAACAACATCATACATCCTTGGACCCTTCCCCAAGGGTCAGATGAGGATATCTTCTCTCACAAGTTAATCATCCCTCCACAACCTTAACAGATGAATTAAAACCACTACCCAGTGCTAAGCATAGTCAACCCTTCATAGTCAGGACCTCTGCATCAGTGGATTCAACGAACTGAAGATGGAAAATATTTGGAAAAAATTGTGTTGGTACTGAGGAGGAGGTAGAAAGAAGAAAGTCTTGGATGGAGGAGTCCTGAAGGGCAGAAGGAAAAGGAGGCAGCTGGCTCTGCAAAGCCACAAAAAGTGCCCATAGATGACACCCAGTAAAGACGAGGACACGTGCGCTCTAAGCTTCTGGTGGGTCCGAGACAAACTCAAAAAACCACACAAAAGCACTCATCTCTCATGACTAAGCCTTCCTGGGGACACACATTCTATCACTCTAGAATACTGAAACAACCCAAAGTGACCTCAACCCAGTTATAAGTAATTACAATCTCGTTTACATTGTGGTTTTGACCTCCACCCCCAGCCTGGGCACCGTGACAGTTCCTCACAGGCCCATATAAGGACAGAAACTTTCTCTTTCCGCAGAAAGGAGGAGACTTCTCCCTGACTGGAGTTAATCTCTGTGCCACTGCAAAGAGTTCCTACCTCCCTGTATAAGCCCTGACTTCTTCCAGGCTGTCAGCTCTGTCTGCCGGCCCTCTCCCTCCCAGAGGAGTGTATCTTTGCTAATAAATGTACGTTTTCACTTCTACTTCTGGGTGTTCTGCTCAGTTCTTTGGGATACCGAGACCCTAGGGCAGCTCCAACCCCATCGCTTCCTCTAGTGCTCCACATGTGGCGTCTATTTTTAAAATGCTGGTTGAGGTGTGGAAAAGTGTGTAGTGCTTGCTCCCATTTGTGTTAACAAGGAGATGGAGGGAATGTACAGACGGGCACTGCTTAGACTATGTCTGGACGCATAAATCAGCTGACCAGGATTGCTCCTGAGCAAGAGGACTGAGGAGCCAGGAGTCTTCTTGGGTGAGGCAAGGGGGAGTTATTTGGAACGTAAGTTGTCCTTTGTATTTATTGTCTACTCTCTGCCTTGCTTTCTTCTTCAAACACGCTAGCCTTCTTGCTGCTCCTCAAGTATTTCCGATACGTTCAATTCCAAGGCTGTGAACTTGCCACTCGAGAGCCTAGAATACTTTTCTTCCAGATTCTCTCAGAGCCCCCTCCCTTACTTCATCCAGTAGGGCTCAAAGGTCATTATTACTGAGACTTTGCTGATGACACTGTATATAACACACGCTCGCCCATATCGCTTTGCTAAGTTCTTCTGATTCCTAATGTAGTAACACTTGACATACTAAATATTTGCCTGTTGGCTTACTGTTTGAATCCCTTTTGGAACATTGCCCAATGCATTACAGACAACCAACAAGGGAAGAATTTTTTTCTTCCTTTTTCATGTGTGTAAATTACTTCTTCGATAGACATAGTTATTAAGGAAAGAATGTTGAATGAGTTAACTGTTAAATGTTTATTATTATAAGAGAAAGTCCTAAGTTCTCACAAGATGTAGCGCTCTCCTTATTTGCCAGGTGTTGGCCATGGGCAAGTCAGGTGGTTTGAGTTCCTTCTCGTCGTTATCCATAAAATGAGGCAATTCATGATTTCTTCACAGAAGATTATACGAGAGCGCCTTTGTAACCTTGGCGATAGGAAAGTTACCACAGGCACGCACCGCTGCTTCTGTACCAGCTGCCTAGCAATAGTACAGTAATGTTTTCAATATTTATCGAGGAAAAGAACAGCCTCCAGGACAGCGCTACAAGAGACCAGGCTGGCGCCGGCCGCCTCTCCTTGGCGTCGTTGCCAGGGAAACCGCCCGGGAGTCTCCAGAACAGGCGCACGCCCGGCGCCCGGCTGCGCTGGCCCCGCCTTCAGTGTGGGCAATAGGCGGAGCGCCGGCCAATCGGAAGAGGCCCTGGGGGCGGGGCGCGCGGAGCGGGGGTAAGGAGGTGCGGCGGTCTCCCTCCCGCACTTCCGGGTCGCGGTGTTTGCAGGGAACGCTCCGCGAATAGCGTCGTTTCCGTTGCCGGCTGTTTGCAGTTGGGGAAACCGAGGCAGCTGCAGCTCCCCCTAGTTCTTCCGCTCTTGTGAGGTGGCCGCTGTTTCTTTTCTCTCACCCTGCGCTGTTTCCGTGCGGCTGCGCCGAGGGTGCGCGGGTTTGCGCGAGCCCCGCGACGTCCCGCGGGAGCTCGGCGGGGCGCCCGGACGGCGGGGCTTTGTGCTCGCCGCTCTCTCCGCTCCGGCGGCGCGCGGGCCGGGCTTCCCGGCTCCGCAGGCCCCGGCGCGGCGACTCCCGCGGGCTGGGGGAGCTGCGGCCCCCCGGGCTGGCGTCCCTCCGCCGGGCAGCTCCGCGTCTTTTGTCCGGGGAGCGCGGACTGGAGCAGATCCTTGTAGACACGGCCGGCGCGTCTGTGACCGCAGACTGCGGCGACTGCGGAGAGTGCCCGTCTCCAAGCCCTCAGGCCCGGGTCCGAGTGGACGCGCCTGCGGGATGTTGAAGGCTGCCCAGAGTCGGGCGTCCGTGTTCAAGTGTCTCCCCCTCACGCGTATCCCCCCCTCCACGTACAAGCCGAAGAGTTTCTTTGTTACAACACCCAGGGTTACTAAGTGTGTAGTTTTTTGTTTGGATGTTTTAAAAACTTACTAGGATTCCTGCCCTCCACGTAATTGAATGGAAGATGAAGAATTAGGACGTGATTTCTCGATTCTCATCTTGGGTGCTTCAGTTTGTGAGCCGTGTGTAGTGTTTTTAGTTGCTGACCTCAGCTGGTAGTGGGAGAGCTGAAGCAAGTCATTCGGGAGGGTTAAGAAGAGCGTATTTCTTACCAAAACAACTCAGACGTTTATATATTTTAATTGTTGCTTAGTAGGGCTGTTGATTCCTAGTGCTCAGAGTGAGAACTTACAACAGGAAGCTGTGAAATATAGTACAGTTGGTTCAAAAAGGCAGACCTAGATCTATCATTCTTTTAAGCCATTAGGTTGCTTTTTACAGTTTTGAAAAAGTGATACTTGGACATTTGATTAATCCATCGTTTAATTAATCATCTTGTGTATATTACATCTGTCGTTTTCTTAGATGCCTAATGAAACACGATCACAAAACAGTTAGATACTAAAAATAATTTGAGATTTGGTGATTTGGGCAAATTGTAATTTTTTTTTTCAGTTTTAAATTCAACTGAAGGTCGTTAAGCTTGTATTATATATTTTCTTCCCCAGGCAAAAAATGTTTCTTTCTTTGTGGGAGTTCTTCTATGGGCACTTTTTTCGATTTTGGATGAAATGGCTCTTACGACAGATGACTGGGAAGTGTGAATTACAACGAATTTTTGATACCTATGTAGGTGCACAAAGGACACACAGGATAGGTAATGTTACTCAAAAAAGAAAAATAATGAAAATTTAACTTTGAATGAATAGAAATAGTGACAATGTACTGTGTATATTCTGGTCAAGTCACTCTGGATTTCGTTAGCTTTGTAATTTTTTTTTGAACCCTTTCAGTTCTGAAATTGTATTACTTTATTGAAAAAGAAACCAGCGACAAGTTCGTATCTGTGGAAAGAATGATCTTATGTGGCTCCTTAAATTCAGCAGTTGTTCCTTGGATTCCCACCTGTTCTGTAGAGAAAACTTTCTATACTTCTGTAATCCCTTTTTACGAAAATGGAAAGAGTGAGGAGCTTCCGTCTAGATCCGTTTCATACTTAGCATCATTCACTAGTCTTTTAACTTCTCACTCCTCTCTGAAAGAACAGTGATTAAGTGTTCAGTGGTCCCTAGCCTCAGAATTGCACTGAGCAGTACCATAGCTACTGGTGCTAGCCTGCATGATTGTTAACAGCTTGAAATGTAGCACAGATGTGTGATTTGTGCCCCAACTGTCAAGTATACACTAGATTTCCAAGACGGTAAACATGTCTTCATTGTTTACATTCATCATATGTTGAAGTGATGTTTTGGATCTGTGGAGTTAAAATCATTGTACGTGTTTCCTTTGAATGTGGCTAGAGAAAATTTTATGGTGCACAAACTGTGACTCACATTTTCACTTGCATTAGGTTTCTCTTGGCCAGTGCTGATCTCTTCTCTTCTGAAATGTGTTGGCTTTTCAAGATTGCGTTGAAAGTATTGCCTTAAATTAGAACATAAATGAATGAGAAATGTGGTTTGAAGTCGCTTTTTAGCCAGGGTAGAAAGACTTGAGAACTGCTACTGCTCATCAGCACTGTATCAGGTAGAAAAATCATGCATTAACCAGATATTTTGTGTAGATGAGTTGTGCTTTTAACTGAGAAATCACCCCCATGAAATTGGGGGACAAGGGTGTTGGAAGGTGCACCCAGGACAACCTGAAAGACTGACAGAATGTGCCTTAGTGCAGCTGGATGATTTAAGCTTACTTACTTTCTTAGATTTCTTACAACTGCTGGTTCACTTAAAGTACTGCCTGCTCTTTTCATTTGCCCTTAAAAGAACAAAATACCTCTTTGATAAGAAATCTGTGCAGGCAGCTTTGTTGATTTTTCATAGTGTGGGGAATCATGTTAACAGGCTTTATATTTTGTAACAAAAGATTTTTTTTTATTATTTTTTTCAAGTTCTGGCGAGAAAGATGATTAGTAAATATGCCACACCTTCCCCCCCCCCCCAGCCCAGGGCCTCAGGCTTACTAAGTAAGCACCTCCCCCACTGCGCCACATTGCCAGCTCTTTAAAAAAACTTTTATTTAGAGAACAGAGCTCACTAAGTTGCCCAGGCTGGCCTTAAAACTTGGAATCCTACCTCCACCTTCTCGGTACCTGTACTACAGTTGTGTGCTGCTGAATTTTTTAATGGACCAGTAAAAATTTTCTTGTCATTCTTGAAACAAGCCAGAAATGGAAGAGTTGTTTTACTCTTTGTCTGATTAGAGGATGGTTGGCCAGATGAGTCTTTGCCCCTTTGTTCTTGTAGGATTCAGTTGCTAGCACCTCTAAACATTTACTCCTGAAGGCCAACAAGGTAAGAAACTGTAGTAGAGAATGTAGTGTTCAGTTGAGTTTCTGGGGCCTGGCTTAGCCATTGACACTTCAGAGATCTACATAGAAAGAGAACTGGGGAAATAAGGTAGATGTCACCTTTGGCCTTGTTGTGTTAGGTTGAGGTTTTTTGAGCAGTGCCTGCTTCTCTACACTGTAAGAATAAAATTTTAAAATGTTTGCTATGTTAGTCATGTAGAAATTATATCTTTTCAAACAGTATTCTATTAGTAGTTTGATATTTTTATTATTTATTATGGAGTAAATCACAAATAGCATTTAAGTGGTAACTTTTTTTTAATTTCAGAAAATTCTTTGACCTACTCCAAGAATAAGGTAAGATCATACCAAGACAATACTTTTAGAAAGCTTGAAGCATATTTTTTTCTTTAAAATCATGCCTAAGTTTTAGAATTATTTTTAGTATCCTGCTGATGTCTTTGCTATAAAGAACATTAAGTGAATTTTCCTCTTTAGAAGTAGTGTTCGTTTATAAAATGTTTTCTCTGTGTGTATGTTTTTCATGCATAGTGAGGCTCCTTGAATAATGTGTCCTGTTCTGAGGCTTTACCTGTTTATTTTGCCTTAAGAGTTCATAGCTTTGGAGGAGGCGAGGTTGTAGGGGGAAACTCTTCTCTAGGACCATCTGTAGGACTAGCTATGTGGGAGAAGAGCAAGCAAATTTGCATAAAGCAAACCCTGAATCCTGTACTTTTTGGGATGTCCTAAAAAGTCCTAACTCATGCTGTGTAGTCATTACCTGTTGCTGTGTAACAAACTGTTACAAAATCTCAGGAACAAAAAGCATGTTATTTCTTGCTCATGTTTTATTGGCCAGCTGGAGAGGCTTTTCAAGCTGGTGCCACGTTCAGCTCTATTCATTTGTCTTTAACAACCAGGTGGGGGAAATAGTGAGTATTAACAGAATGATCCCATAGTGGATTGCTGGAGGCCCAAACATACAGACATATTTTAATTCTCTTGTGTCATATCCATTAGTATCCTCTTGGTTAAAATAAGTGGCCAACCCCATTTTAAGAAATAGAGAAATATATATTATGCCTCACCATAAGGCCAGGACAGAGACAGGTAGGTATACAATTGATACACAGGACAGTGAAAAACCAGGACCAGTAATTAGTCTACCACATGCTGTTACTTTCCTGTATTAGTTCACAATTATTTCTACATATGGATTATTTGATCTGACAAAGATAGAGTATGGGTGATCTAGATCATTGTTTGAAATTCCATTGATGGACCACAATTAGTATTAAACAACAACAAAATGAATAGAATAGAAACTATTTAGAAATTACTGGTCATTAAGATTAAACATTGCTTTATGAAATTCTTAATTTTATGTTGTATGCATATCTCTGTTTTTGATATCCATATATATGCTTATATTTGGTCATAATGTAAAATACTGATCAAGGTAAAAAATTTGACTTGCCATTGTTATATGATGTTGGTATGAGTTACTAGTTCATGCTAGAAACAGAATGGTTGATGAGTGTTACAGGGATGCCCATTATGATCTGGTGAGTAGCCTATAAACTAGGTGCTACTTAGTTTAATCTTTTATTAATGGCCTAATCTTTTATTAATGAATTATTTATGTAAAAATAACTCAGGTACCTGAATGAACACTGGAGAGAGTTGTCTGGAGTCCTCTTTCGTTCTGAATCTTAGGGGTGATTAAGTTTTTTAAAAATGAGAATAGTTTTTATAGGTAGCCCTTGACTACCTATGCAAGGGACTTCCTATGAAAAACCTGCAGCTAGCTTGATAGAAAATATTGAGATATTACATGCTGCCCACATTTAATTGAGAACACAGTGAGTATGTTGGCACACTCTCATTTTATTGTCCTAGAGATCCTGGGTAGTGAAATAAACAAGAAAAAGAAGTCTAAGTTAAAATAATTGGACAGAAAGAAGTAGAACTTAATTAATGAATGATATAGTTTGGGAATATAGGAAATCTTAGGGAATCTACAGAAACTACTAAATTTATTATTTATATTACTATAAATTTATAAATTTAACAGTGGCATAGGACACGGTATACTTTTATATGTTAGCAACTGTCTTTTGGACAATATAATAAAAAGCACAATACCACTTTCAATAGCATCTAGAAATATAAAATAGGGAGATATTCAATAAAAGAAACATAAGACTTCTGCACTAGAACTAGGGAACATTTTTAAGAAGATGGAAAGATATGTTCATCTATTGGAAGACTCGGTAATATTAAAAAGTAATTCCCAAATTGAATTTCTAAGAAAAACTAAAATGAAAAGATATACTGTATTTATCAGTTAGAAGACTCAGTATTATTAAGATGTTAATTCTCAGATTGACCCATGGATTCAATGTAGTTATAAAAATCCCAGCAAACTACTGAAGAAACTGGCAAGGTCTTTGTCAGGTTTATACAGAAAAGGAACAGACCAAGAATAGCACAAATAATCTGAAAGAATTGAGTTCAAAGACTTACACTTCCGGACTTAAAAACTTTCTCAGCAGAAAGATGAACAAATGAGGGGGCACAAATAAACCATACATAAAAGGGTGTACAATTTTTAATGGTGTTAATTCAATGAAGAAAAGTTTTCAGTAAATGGTACTAGAATAACTGAATATCCATATGGAAGGAAGAAAACAACTCAATCCCTATTAGTGCTTTTCTTTTATTAAAATATATATATTACTTTAGCCCCACGCAAAATTTGAAATACAATTGGTTTCCCTTTGTGCTTCAGTATTTTCTTTGTGAAGCTGATTAAATCCCCCAGAAATGCACCGCTTTTTCAGCTATTGGACTTTCCTCATTCAGCTTTCTTTCATGTCACTAGATTTTACAGAAAGCAACACAAGTGGTTGAGAGTGAAGTGGACAAATATGTAGAAGATATAATGAAGGAAAAGAATATTAACCCTGAGAAGGACACCAGGTGTGTTACTTTCACATTACTATTATTATTATTATTATTATTATTATTATTATTATTACTCTTATGTGTTCACAGCTTGTCAGGTGTGGAGATCACATGGTTTTAAAATTTTGTAGAGACAGATTATCTGATTCAGCCCTTTCACTTCACTAAGTGAGCTGTTGAGGGCTGGAGAAGTGAGTGAAAAGCCACAGGGCTAAAACCTGTATCTCTTGGTTTCCAGTCTAGCGCAGTTGTCATCATACCATCTGGCTTCTTTAGCGTAGCTTACTGTTACTTTCCCCAGGTTAAATAACAGGCTATTGTGTCCTTCTTGCCCTTCGAGACTGAGCTGTTATGGCATCCTCTGAGAAGGTCCTCCCTGGCTCCTTTAGTTGAGTTAGGTGCACTGCTCTGTCTTAGGTTAGAGCTCTCTGCTACGCTGCCATCCCCTATGTGCTCACGTTCCTTGAGAGGAGGTCCGTGGAGTGCTGGAGCATGGTAGATGTGGGCTTCTGGTTTTTAAGCACACAAGCTCCACTCTCAGATATGTATTGAGGGAAGATGGAGGGTAGATTTGGGGATGTGTGAGGATAGTAGAAGAATAAAGACAAAACAGGAAAATGAGTCATTTGGGCAAGAAATGACAAAGCCATAAGTATAGCAAGGGAGTTAATGATATGAGGATTACTTAATGGGACATTTTAAAGATAGGATAGGGGGCTGGGGACCATTTGATACATGCATATTGTGTGTGTGTGGGGGGGGGACTGGCAGTCAGACCCAGGATAGGCAAGCACTCTACCCCTGAGCTGTATCCCCAACCTTTGGTGTGTGTATTGTTGGCAAAAAGAGGTGGATCAGAGAGCTTGGTGTGTTCTGGCTCAGGGAACTGATGGTTAGTAATGTCATCAATCTAGAAACTCACTTCCTTGTTTCTTCAGGGAAGATAAACAAGTTTATAGTTAGGAAAATGCACATAACCTGTCACAGAGCTATTATGCTTAGAAAATTAGGTCTGTTGGTGGTATCTAGAAATAGGTTTGGAGATGTACGGCATTGCCCACAGGAAATATGACAAGTGGAGGGTCACCTTGTGACCGCAAAGTTTGTTGTTCCTATGCCTTCTTCCTGGGTCCTGTTTTATCATATCCTACATAATTCTTTGTACATGTAGAGGTGTTTTAAGGAGATTTTTGGTTCTTGTTGTATTAAACTGAAAGCCAGGAAATGCTTTTTTTTGTTGTTTTTGTTTACAGGAAATGCTTTCTAAATAGACATATGAATTATGGAGCAATAGAAGGCGTTACTTTATTGTGATACAAAAATATGATTTTAAAAAATAATTTTATTATTTTCAGTTTTAAAATCTGCATGAAGACATGCTTGCTACAAATAACTGGTTATAAACAACTCTATTTGGATGTAGAAGACGTACGGAAAAGGCCATATGATTCTGATAATGAACAACATGAAAAGCTACTTCTAAAGGTAAATTTTTATATTGTGTATTTGGAACTATTGGACACTAGAAAAATTAACAGGCTTGAGCTAAGTAAGATCTATGTGCAAAATCTAGAGGTTTATTTAGCTATCTAGTCCTTTGCTCCTAGAGAATTTTATTATGTTAGATTTCATTGATATGGAAAGATTTTTAGTCAATATTTGTAATTTAATAAGCACCAGTAACATGTATTCAAATAAATTTTAATGCATTTGATTCTGAAATAAATTATAAATTCATAAAGAAAGGTCTTTTTAACCAAAAATCTGTGGATCCATAAACCTCAGATTTTCACAGTACTTTTTATATGAATATCTCCTATATAGTTGGCATTATTTTTAGCTACTCTGAAGTTGTGGGCATGTATATCCCTTTATATATTATTACATAACTCTTTCGGGGTTTATGGAATGATAATAGGTAATGCCACGATACGTTCTTTAAAAAGTTTCCTATTTTTCATTATTGAAGTATAAATAAGTAAGGTAAATGAAGTGCCAAAGTTAAAACGTGTTAGACCTGGAGTAAGCTTTATAGATCATCCGGTTTTAGAGATGGTCTGTCTAAGGCCCAGAGAAAACGAAGTGATTCGCTTCAGTACTAGGTGTTAGGGCCTAGAAAAGAGCAGGTTTTTGCCTGTCTTATATGCCTGACTCCTTATGAAATTTGGACATGGCGTCAGAGAGCCAGTTCTTAGTAGTGACTTACCCCACAGGCGTAAGTAACTCAGCCAGCTTCCTGGCTAAAAAGCTGTGGAATCCATGTTGCTTTAAGGACCACAGCCCTAGGACCACCTTCAGTAGGCTTAACCAGTGTTAATTAGTATATAGATTCCAGAGTACTACCTTATCCTCATGAAATCTGAATCTCCAGGGCTGGAGGCCAGAAATTTGATACTTATGCATATTAAATTTTGAGTTCTTCTGATTTTACCCTGCAGCTTTCATATCACACACATCTCGTCATACTCATACTCTTTGCAGAGTTCATGAGGAGAGGTTAATGTGAACAGATTATATATGTTGTCAGTAAAAGTAGGGACAAGATAAAACCCAGTCTAATGATTAGATTTGGCTTCAGAGCCAGTTTCTAAAGGAAGGTCATCAGTTTTTACATTTTATTTTAGGTAATAGGATACTTTAATTAGGAGTCCTTTACTCAACAACGTTGGAAACGGTAGTGAAATGGGGGAAGGTGGAGGGTGGAACTGTTTCTGTTTTGTAAATTTTCACAAGCTTATTGTGAGATCAATTTCTGTAAGTCTGTTTTGCTTTGATTAGTTTTGTTGGTATTTAGTATCTGATAACTGTCATTAAATTCTTTTTTTTTTTTAAAGATATTTATTTGAAACCAAATCATATTTTTTTCTTTTAAAGCTGAAAATTTATAAACTAGTTATAATATAGGTTGGGATATTATGAGTTTGATGATCCCCTCCCTCAGACCTATTTCCATTCTTCAGATTGGGGTTAATTATCCAATATTATAATATAGCCAATTGAAATACACAAGGCCAGTTGCCCTAATACTGTGTTTTTCTTAGGCAGGCAGTTAACCAATTCTGATATGCATATATTAAATAGTAAATAAAACGTCTCATTGTTTTAGGTTCCTTTGTAGTATTTGCTATCTTTTCAAAATCTATTCTTTATAAGTCATTTTGGTTGAATAAGTACACTGCAGTCTTCGTTGAACCATTTATGATATGTCTACAATAGTTTTTTAATCAAAAGCATTTAATTACTAGTTATATAAACCATGAGAAAGGAAATGTCTAAATAAATGCAGCCCATCACTATGATTTGTAATATGGAAGCATGTTCGTGCAGCTTTGGAATCTCCTGATGCCCACCGTAAAGCTAACAGCTAGAATCTCCAAGCAGTGGGCTGACATTGGTTTCCAGGGCGATGACCCCAAAACGGACTTCAGAGGCATGGGCATACTTGGATTAATCAACCTTGTGTAAGTAAAAATAAACTTCCTTTTTTCTCTGAAGAAATCACATGTAACTTCCAATTTAGTTACATTCTAATAAGAATTGATCTGGTTGTTTCATACTCTGAATTTTAATGCAGTGCTCGAAGTGTGTGCTGATGTGCAGCAACACTGTTTGAGGAAGGTGGGGGATTTCTTTATTTACCTGTTCATCTGCTCCCCTTCTCTTCCTGGACCCCTGTCTGATATTTCTTTCCACATTGTACACACTCTTCTTACTGAAAATATCCTCTTGCTTTTTCCCACTGGGCTGTGATTCCGTTTAGGGAAAAAATAACTAGATAAGATGATAAAAGTTTCTTCACATGTGTTCTTCATTACTTGGGACAATTGATATAAATCTCTGACTTTTCAGAAGCAACATGGACTTGCTCTTCCTGTTTTCTTTATTATTTATAAAGAACATGCAACTCAAGTCGTATATGATCGCCAAAATTATTCTAGAGAAGAAACTGAAAGATGAGTTTCCTACTATTAGGAATTGCAGATTCCAGTGTTTGGATCTGTCCATGAATTATGATTTAAAGACTGAAAGATGTCTAAAATGGGAGGCCAATTGTTGATTCTTGTTGTGAAAAAAACAATTCTGAAATTGAGCTAAATTACGTTAATATTGAGAAAAAAATATTTTGGTCAATATCTATAAGGTTATTTTGGGGAAAGATAACTTTGTAGTAGATTTCAGTATCTACAGTTTTTTTTCAATTACAAAAGTATGTGATTTCTTCAAATACCTAAACTTTATAAGCATTTATGTTCCACATAATTCTGATTCTTAGAGATAAACAACACAGTAATGTTAATTTTTTAATTATAAAAATGATATCCTAGCATCTATCAGAAGAGAATTTAGTATAAAGTTTAAATAATTTAATAGAATTTGATGCTAGGCTGAGATCAGGGATTCTGGTAGACCTTTAAATGACTTCCAGATATTTTCAGTCCACTTAGAGCTAATATTGGCTGATTTGAAAAATTACCATATGCTAGTAATTACTTGATTGTCAAAAGTGTACTAAAATGATTCAAAAGATAAAAGTGATTCCTTTGTGATTTGGTTTATTGCCCTTTTATACATTAGAAGCCAAAAACACAGTCTAGGAATAAGCTATTAAAATTATGTCATTTATTATTTTTGAATTTCTTGGCCTTTGTCATGTAGTCTGTTAAGATATTTTCTGGCTTTGAAGTATGTTGATGGTTTGATAAATAACAAGGCTAAGATAAGTGAAAAGGGGGTGGGTGGAGAAGAAAGGATGTTGTGCAGAAAATGAATCAAGGGAGACTGAAAAAAATCTGAATAAATGAGTAAATTGCAACAGCAAAGCAGAAGAATCTGCAAGTAAAGGCCAGAAATGTCTCTAGGAAGAAGGAATGGTGGGGAGTAAAAGAAGGAGAAGGGAAAAAATGGAAGGAAGTGTGGCATTCAGTGCAGATGGTAAGTTCAGCTAAATAAGTTCAGCAAGGAAATTAAAAGGTACTGTCTTACAGATTAAGGGTAGTTTCACTTTTAAAATGCTAATGAACACTGAATTGTATGAAGAGTATTGTATACAAAAATGAAATATAAACAGTCCAGGGATCAAGCAGAATTGGAGCCTTGGGAAAGCATTGCCCTAAGAAAGACTTTTGGGGTTTACAGATCTCTTTGAGGAGCTGAAGAAAGCTTTGTATATTCTGTCTTCAGAGAATGCACCCACAGAAAAAACCGCACGTACTTAAAGGAAACTGGAAAGGCCACCTTCAGTCTTTTTTTTTTTTTGTGTGTGTGTGTGTGTGTGGTTTTTTTTTCTTGTACCAGGAATCGAACTCATGACCTCACTCTTGTCAGGCAGGCGCTGTGCCACTGAGCTAAATTCCCAGGCCCCACCTTCAGTCTTAATTGATCCTTCACTTACGGGCATCAACGTTAATAGGCCCTTGTTTAATGGGTTGAAATTTTGAGCCCTTGAAGAATGGAAGTGTGTGCTACTAGTCCGTAGAAGAAAGACAGAAGAAGAAGATTAGAAATTTCTATACTTTGAGAAAATGTTAATGATTATGCCCTCTACAATGGGAACCATGGGAATAGTGTTTTATTTTACTATTTATCTTCATGTCAGTGATCATCCAGTTGTTGTGTGTGCGTGTGCATTTGTTTGCACCATTGATTATGAAGTGAAGCAAAAGTTGATTGGGTTTGTTCCCATCTTTAACAACTCAAGGAGGTTGCATTAACATGGGCCAGAAGGATGTGTGAGCTTGCAGATAGGTAGCTTTCTGTGTTCCTCCTGTACCTAATGCTTCTGTTTTACTGACACTAACTTAGTGTATCAGGTATTTTAACATTTTTTCTGGTAAATGGATAACTCTTGATTGCACTAAAAATGCCACTGAATAGTGCAGACTTAGTTTGTAGTAAAGATAATAAGCTTTAGTGAAAGGAAATATCTCAACAGATACATTTTTGACTATTTTATAAAAATAAGAGTAAGCAAATTTTTGTAAAAAATTATTTTTATATAGAGAGGAAGTCTCTTTTTATGTCATTTTAAAAACATTTTACAATCTTGCCAGAGATTATGCTTGCACTGGATAGGCCTAAGTCCTTAGGATTATTTTGAGTCAGGAACATTTATGAATCACTGAAGTGATTTGGGATGGAAATTGAGATGATTGTGACAATACTAGGATTATAATTTTGACTATAGCAGTTGCCTCTGGATATTAAGTTTGAATGACATGTGCTCATTGCATTATTTTGCTTCAACATTTTTAGGTATTTCAGTGAACATTACACCAGGGAAGCTCATCAGATTCTTTCCCGCTCAAATCATCCAAAATTAGGGTAAGCTGGATAACCTTAAATACAATTACATGATTAAATGCATTTGAAGGCATTTCAGGGTATTTCTTTCAGGGTATCATCTCTTAAAATATTATTTTAATAAGAACTTTATAAAGAATACTGGATGAGGCATTATTTTTAAGGAAAAATGTGGTCATAAACTGTTTTGTATACACAATAAAATCTTGGTTTGTGGGAATAATTCAGCACTTGTGTATTGAAGCAGCAAGAGAGAACCAGTTGTGATCATGTGACATTCAGCATGACATACTAATATTGCAAGATGTCCCTCATTTATCAGGTTAAAATTTATTGGAAATGTTTGCTCATCTTGCAGAACACTTGCAAACCAGGTTACTCACAGTCCAAGGTTTCACTATATTTTAGTATATTTTTATCACAAGATATGCTCTAGTTATACAATAAATGGCATCTGTAAAATTTTTTTGAGAATAGATTTGAAAATAGGATTAGGAATGGCTTGAAATTAGGAACAGGAAAATGGGAAATAGCTTTGAAATTTGTAAAATAAAATGTAAATTGAGGTCATATTATTAGCTTTATCATTATTTTGTTTTTATATTCTATCTAATCTTTAGGAAAACATAATAATAATGTTAAATCTTAAAAGCAAATATCCTGATAATGGAGAAGAAAATACCAGATTATCTGCTGTAGTTTAGAAATTAATGAAATTTAATGAATTTAGTTCTCTTTTGGTTTTAGAAATCATATAAATAGGGCTTTACTTTTATTTCTTAGATTTTATCCAGAATATCAGTAGGCTTTAGAAATTTTTTTAAAACTATTGTGGTTTGTTTTTCTTACTATGTAGAAAGCATTCTGAAAGCAATATTATATTAGAAATGAAATAGTCACCTTTTACTAATTCCTTACATAATTTAAATTTATTTTATGAGCTATCTGGCTAGCTGGTGTAACTGGTAATGTTTCTGACATAGGTATTCTTATGCAATAGTTGGAATCAATCTTACAGAGATGGCTTATAGCCTACTGAAGAGCGAAGCTTTGAAGTTTCATCTCTACAATTTTGTTCCTGGTGTGCCGACAATGGAACACTTTCACCAGTTTTACTGTGAGTATTAGAATGAGTTGATCCTGGATCTAAGAAAACCATTAGGAAGGTATAATAACTATTTTGATTTAATATATCAAATGTAAAGCTTATGTTTACCATTTTATAATCTAGGATCTCTTTTTTTCAGTACTAGGTATCGAACTCAGGACCTTGTGCATGCTAGGCAGGTGCTTGACCCGCTGAACTATATCCCCAGCCCCTATCTAGGATCTTTGAAAACCAGGGAATAATAGAAGATGGGTCTGTAGGAGTATATTGTACTTCAGGTTTTATATTTGCTGATTAAAAAAAGTTTAGCAAGGCACTTTTTCACATGTATGCAAGTTTCAAATTCATGTACTTTTGTAGAAATTCATTCCCCAGTCAATTACACAGTGAATTTTTCATCTTTAATGCCGGTTACTGAATAGGATAGACCCATGTACAGATTTTTTTTTTCTTGTAAGGTCGATTAAAGGAGCTTTTGACCACTGTCACTTCAAGTGCAGTTTTTCTTGTAGGTAGGAGTTCTGTATAAGCACTCCTCAAGCAGTGGCCGTTACCACCGCTCATGAACTTTCACTCTGCCGCTGTTTGAACCCGAAGGCTCGGTTGAATAGACCCATCCCCTGAAGCTGTTGCTCGGAAGCAGAGAACTCAAATCTGTAGTGCAGCATGCATCTCCAGGCAGCCCTCTGTTGCTCTGTTCCCTTCCATCTCAAAACCTTTAAAATAAGTGCTTTGTTCCTTTCTTCACCTCCAGTTTTATCTAACTTCAGTTTCGTTTCCTCACTCCACTGAAACGCATTTTCTCAATATTTTTCGTGCCTCACACAACTGCCGTGATTTTCCTTCGTGTAACTTGTTCTTTGAGCAGGAGTAGACGTCAGTGACCACACGCCTCCCCTTGAAACCTGTCCTGGCTTTTCTGATGCTGCAATCTCCTGGCTTCCCTGCACTTACCAGACAGGCACGGCCGTATTAATGTGGAGCACCACAGCGCCCAGCCCTCAGCCTGCTGCTCTCTGTAGCTCTGATTGTTCCCCCAGTGATCTCATCCAGTCCCGGCTTGAAGTGCCATCTGCGTACTGTCAAGGCTCAGGCAGAGAGCTGTAGCCCAGCTGCTCTCTCCAGCCCCAGCACTGTGCGCCAAGACCTTCTTCTTGATTTGATAAAGGATCCTGTGGGGAAGGGGCCACAAGGTAGAAGCCAGTGTACGGTGTCTTTAGACGGTTTTTCAGGTCCTGAAGGACCAGTCTGATGACTATACCTGAGTGGAATGAAGATTCCTCACAGGCGTGAGGCACTTTCTTTCACCATGTGAAGGCCATCGTGGAGCTGTTTACATATCCTCTTGGCCCTCCTGACTGACCTGGAGATTGGTGCATACCTTACCTGCTCCTAGATGGAAAAAGCAAAGCTAGGTTCAAATAACCCTAACACATCTACCCTGAAATACCTACTGTGAGATGGATGTTTTTACTGTGATCTGAAAAGAACCATTGCCCTCAATTTGCCGTGGCTCAGACTTTGCCAGTCTTCTTTCGGGGGGGCTCAGACATTTTATTAGATTTTCCTCCCCACAGCTGTCTAGTTCTTTTCTTCCAGGTCACTGCTGTGAAACTGACAGCCCCCGACACACATACACACTTGTCTTGTTTGATTTCCTGTCCTGAATCTCTCATCCCTCTTTAGCATGGTGCTTGAACTGCTGGTACTTTGTCAACTTGAATCTCACATTAATGCAGTATATCCTGTTTGATGTGCCCTTAAATATAAGACATTTAAAAATAATCCATCCCGGTACCGGAGAAAAACCAAAAAAAAAAAAAAATAATAATCCAAATGCTCCCTCAAATAAGCAATTTCCTGAATTAAATACATGAGGGTGGTAGATTGGGAAGCAGTGCAAGGTGTCCTTAAAGACTGGTCACTTGAGGGTCTTTGGGTACTGCTGTTGCTCTCCAGAGCCCTTGACACCAGCACGTCCACGGGATTCTGTCTGGGAAGGGCATCCAGGTCCTACCCAGGATGGAAAAGTAGAGCCCTTTCAGTGACCTTGTTTCTGTCGGTTCAGGTCCCTGTAAGAGCTGTGGCTCATCCTACAGTGACGCTTACACTTTTTAAATTTATTGAGACATTTTACACATACATAGGAGCTCTGCTTGTAAGCAGAAGTTTTGAGGCATATTTTCCATACCATTTATCAGTGGAACTTTCCTATCTTAAGGTTCTGCTTTTCTTCTCAAAAGGAGCCTCTTCTAACTAGAATAGTAATTTTAAACTCTGTTTTGAGTGTACATATAATTTCTTTTTTTGGAGTAATGAGTCCATTTACTTTGAATAAATTGGCTCTAAAGTCATTGTTTTTTTTCCCACAACAAAAAACTATAAAGAGATTAGCTTTCGTATGTATTTCCTTGTGATCTGTCTTGAGCTGTCTTTTAAATCCTCTTGCTTTCATGGTGATGGTGTTTTGTGTAAGGTCTGGGGACAGTAGTGGTAACATAGCCTCTTACTTCCATGGTCACTTTCTGGTAGGTGAATTATGAGCAGGTATCCGCCATCACCCTGGGAGGCTGTTGTCCTCTGGTCCAGCAAGGGCTCAGGGTTACAGGACCTCCCGCTTCCAGGTACTGCTGTCTAGCATGTCTCCATTCTAGAGTTTGAGGACCAAAGGCCTAGTGTTTTGGTGGGTTTAAAAAAAAATAACACCTCAAGTTTCTATAACCAAAAGTTATGCCTCAATAACAAGTTTATTAAGGGATAATTTTACCCATGGGAAGTATTTCAGTGAGTTTTAATAAACTTACTAAGTTGGACAACCACCATCATAATCCAGTATTAGAACATTTCCATTACCCCTGTAAGACCTGCATGCTGGCTTACCATTAACCCCTACAGTCAAACCATGCAGGAATTTTAAGTTTAGAAATTTTATATAGTAATTTCTGTTGAGTTTATTCGAAACATCTTAAATTCAAAAGAACAATCTCTGTGCTGTATGGAAATAGCTCCTTGCCATCATTTTCTACAGAGCTTAGGAGTCTAGGTGACCCTGCCAGCTTCCTAGACCTTTGATACCATTTTTCCTGTAGTTTCCTGATGTTTTATTCAGTCAAGGGAGCTATTAGAGTTTTGGTGCTTTGAGTCAGTCTTTCTTAGACACCACCGACATCGCTATGAAGCAAGAAGTTTCTGGGACTTGAGCAGTTTGTTTCTGCCTGTGAAGTCACTTGAATGGACCACAGTCCTGACAGTAATAAAAAAGCAGTTTACAGAACATAAGGGGAAAGAGCTAAATCTAATGGGCAGAAATAATAACAAAAGAAATGGCACATATCATAAGCTTTGGATGACTTGATTTTTCCTTCTACTGAGAATGTTAATCTCTAAATTCTTTTATCTACATCTTTATCAAAGTATTGGGGGGAGATGAGGGCAAACACAGATTCTGTATATTTATGTGTACTTTCTATTTGTGCTATTATCATGTGCGTATAAAATAAGTTTTAAAGAAATGAAAATAGAATATAATATTTAAAAACAATTAGAAGATTGGAAAGCCTTTTGGAAGGGGCAGTGAGGCTGTAATGGAAACTGAAGCCCAGTTTATGACGTACACTGCTTCCAAGCGCTATGACTTGGCCACATCTCTTCGCCTCTCTGAGCCTGTTTCCTCAGGGGTAAAGCAGGGAAAGAAGCACAGTCCTTAGGCCATTGAGTTATTGGAGAAAATGAGCACGTGATGCTCACCATAGATGTATTTAAAAATAACAGCCTAACACATATATTTGCTTGAATATTAAATTTATGTTTAAATTCATATGTGTGTATGTGTATGTTTGGTTTCGTGAGACATTTTCAGCATTTTGGGTAATGTATGAAGAGACTGAAAAAAAAGGTGAGCCTATTTATAGTTCATGTATTCTTTTCGAAAAGAGACAGTCCTGCGAGTCCACTGAAAAATATAAATAGCTTTAGATTTGGAAATTAAATGGTAAGTGGAAACGGCTCTCCTGCTCTTTATCCTTGTCCAGCATCTTCACATATTTTCACTTTCGTGCTCCAGGCTGCCTTCTCCAGCTCTCTTTGGAAAGTTCTGTGTCTCTGCTATTTGGGGGGTTTTGTTGATTTTTGAGACAATTAGTAAATGTAGACTAAATATTTTATTGAAATTACTGTTTATTTTGACCATACAAAATATTTCTTAAAAAGGTCTGCAGATCTCTAATAGTTTTAAGATTATTTTTGGTTACTGTGTCCTAATAGGGAACTTAAAAGGTTATGTACTTTCTAAAACTGTGATGCTTTTGATGTGGTTCTCCTATTAAGGACTGTTTGTTTTGTTTCTCTTGAACTACAGGTTATCTTGTCTATGAATTTGACAAGTTTTGGTTTGAAGAGGAACCAGAAAGCATTATGTATTTCAACCTATATAGAGAGAAGTTCCATGAAAAGATTAAAGGACTCTTAATGGACTGCAATGTAGCACTTACTTTAAAAATATAAATCATCCTTAGTAGCTTCTATTTCTACCACATTTTGCACACACAACAGAATTTATATGTTGTAATAGAAATTATCTGATCGATTACACTCTTATATATAATTTCCTACAAAAATACTTCAGAAATTCTATTTCAGAAAGCTAGTGGACAATCAGTGTATGTTTACAATTATTTATACACTGTTCTCCAAAGTTCCCTTATCTTCCCAAAGGTCCCTTCTGTAGAGTCATGTGAACTGCAGTCTGCAGCTTGGGATTTCGTTAGTGTAAAAGTATAAGTCAGGTATTTATATTAAATTGATTGATTAAAATGTGTACAATTCAATTTTCATTTTTATGCGTTGTAGCCATCAGGTTGGTATCTTTTTCAAAACTCTTCAAATTTTTTTTGGTTTTTTAGTCCGCAAATGACTGGTTTGAATTTGCTTTGTCTTTTTATCTCTGGGCTAATGAACAGCAAGAGTAGTTCTTTGTTTTTTGATAGGGTTTCTTTTGTTTGTTTGTTTTGTTTAATTGGCAGTGCTAGGGATTGAACCCATGCCCCCGTGCATGCTAAGCAAACACTCTTCCCCTGAGCTACATCTGCAACCTAAGAGTAGTTCTTTATGGCTTTCTTCGTTTGCATCTCAATCACTTATCAAGTGATCTCAATCACTTTATTAGTAATAACAATAGACATATCAGACAGGCTAAAGAATTATGGCCTCCTTTTTGTTTTCTGGAGATAACCGGAATATAACAGATAATGAGAGAATGACAGTATTGGGTTTTTTGTCTTTAAATAACACACTTTAATGTCAGTGTTACTTTAAAATTTAAAGGCATTTTCTTGTCTTCAGAATTTACTTTTTTTCAGTTGTAGAAAATAAAAACAGCCCTATTTAGTGCTTTAGTGTGAGGGCCTTAACCTGTATGGTTTATTAAAAGAGATGTGTTTGCTAAGAGAATCTTGATTGTTTTCAAAAGACAGTTTCTATTAAAATAAAACTGTCTCTGCAACAAGAAAAAGAAGTATTTAAAAACCTCAGTTAAACACCATTGGTTTATTTGTTAACTCTTGCTTCTCTCTGCTTTGACTGCGTGGTGTTTCTCGATAGTGGTCTGTGGACTTCATGTTAACAGTCTGTGGGATAATAAAGCAGCTGGAGACTGATGACTGTGCTTTTATATAGCTTTATTCTCCTAAATCTCAGGAGGACAGCAAGTGCTGTCGAGGATTATATGGAATGAGATGTTAATGGGAACAATTTCTTTTGGTGTGTTTTGGAAGTTCATACTCCTAGAAAGACTAAAAGAGCTTAAAGCCAGGCATGGTGGTACATGCCTATAATCCCAGCACTCAGGAGGCTGAGGCAGAAAGATTGCCACATGTTTGAGGCCAGTTTGTGCTACATAGTGAGTGCAAGGACAGCCTGAACTACATAGCAAGACCCTATTTCAAAAACAAACTAAAAAAGCTTAAGGCCAGGAAAGTTCATCTCATTACTACATTCTCCTTAAACCCTTCAAAATCCACTTGTTAAAGACATAGTTTAATTTACAACACGATAATTTGCATGTCTTTTACTGTGGTATACATCAGGTGTTTAAGGAGTAACCTGTGTATGATACAGCAACACTTAGTACTTTTCAAGTCATTTGCTCATGTCCACATACCTCTCCAAACTTGTCAAAAAGAAGTATGAAATACTCGACTGGAAAATCACAGATGCCGTGTCAAAACTATTTCTTTCTCAATAAAATAAAACTATTTTTAAAACTGTTCACTTTATTATAATAGTTGAAATTTAACTCTGCAGTATTGTAGGAATTTAATAATTTCTTATAGGAGACTTTTCAACCTTGGGAATATCTTCACTTAGTTTTTAAAAAATATTTTCATGATTTATTGTCCAGCTAGAGCTTTATGATGTGTAGCAAAATTCTAATAAGCAGCAGATGTTAACCGTTGTTCTCTGTATTAAGATGTTGTCTAGTCTGTGGTAAGCAATTTAGTGTTTTAATTTTTGTACTAAAAATGCTTATCTTTGTATTTTGATCTTTCAACAACTGAGATCTTGAAACTCATTTAAACCTTTGTCAGTATATGTATTTAATTTAAAAAATGCTGGAGGTATGAAAAAATAACCTGTTAAGTCTTTTCCCCTTGTAGGGAGAGAAAAAAATCTAGTATTTCAAGAAAATGGCATTATAAAGTTTGTTTAGTAATGTTTTTTAAGTTCATTTCTGTACACTACAAATAATGTTCTGTTTTTGCTTAAAATAATCATTAACCATTTCAGACAATTCTATAACAAATTGATCCAAAAGCCACAACAAATTCTAAGACTTGATAGTCTGGAAAGGCAGACTGTCACCAACCATAAATTAGAATGTAGCGTGAGCTTTTTGATTTATATGTGATAGTGATATACAAGAAAAGAACAATATAATTGTTTCAGCCTTCCTACTTTCCCTTTCAACATGTGTGTTAGAATTTTATGTAGTCTTAAAATCCACATTTAGAAACTTACCTGTTTCTATAGGAAAATGCCAAGGTAGTGATAAAATATGATTTGGCATTGAAGTAGCAGGAAAAATGTTAGTGTTAGCATCAGAAAAAGTGAGATCAACGTGGAAATGAATTTTTGCGTGTGCCAGGTTTAAGAGATTGTGCCAGTGACAAGAACAATCTAAAAAAGACAATTGTTAACATTTACAGTTTAAACATGTTCTGAAAGACAATCTTCAAAGAAATGAGATATCTGTAAACCTTGACCAACCCCTTGTAAATAAATATGATATCGATAAAAAAAAAATCTGTCTTAAACTGGCACTCTTTACAGTTTAGAAAACAGAATCTTTTTCTTAAAAATGCTCCTCCTGATTTTTTTCTATTTTTAAGAGCTACTTGGATTTGTATGTACTTTTCTATGTCAATATATACGTACCCTTCACTCGAAATCGATGATATATCTGTTCTCCCCTTCGAGAACATTCAGTGAACTCAAATTTGATCTAAATGTGGCTCAAAGGGAAAGCATTACATGAGCATGAAAAGTGGATGCTCATTTCTAGACCAGAAAATGTGACACACTACCAAGGCACAGAGAAGAGGACATTTGGCTTGCAGGCAATAATGTTTATTATCCTTCTTGAAATAATGACTGGGGACCAGCAGCGAATTTCTCAGGATAAATGGTCTACCCTGCTTCTCTGTAAACATGTCTTGGGAGGCTTAATTTCCATTTTCATATTTATGAACATCTCACTAGCAATCTTTAAATGAAGTTTAGTAACCTGAAAGAAATCATGTCTTGTGTTTCTGTTTTGCCTGTCTTTAGCTTTTGATGAGAAAAATTAAAAATGTAGTGCAGGTAAGACCCAAGTACTACATGACTATTACGGAATGATTCGGTGTTTTTGTTAAAGCACTGAAAAATGTTGAAGCACTAGTGTTCCCTGGAGGAAAAACTGCCAGTTGACAGCTTAAAGAAAGTAACTTTTTGTCTACTTTGGATAAAAGCAATAGTGTGTAATGTGGTGTCATTTTGTTTGTGATGTCAAGTGAACAAATAAACATGTTGAAATTGTAAGCCTTTCTGTTCATGCTTTTGATACCTTCCTGTCGTCCCCATCCCTTAAGTCACTTATGCATATGTGTCTTGGTTACATTGCTCTCATTGCTGAGACAAAATACCTGACACCTAGAATTAAGGAAGGAAAGATTTATTTAGTTCACAGATTGTGGAAGTTTCGGTCCGTACTCCGCTGACTCCAAGGCAGAGTGGCACATGGCAGAGGGCAGCAGTTCATGGTGGCAGAAAACAGCAGAAGCAGCAAAAGCAAAAAGCGGGGAGGAGTGGAAGAGAGCAAGGCCCTTTCCCTCCCTTACATTGTATGCAGCTACCCGCCCCAGCGGGGAATAGCACTCATACCCAGAATCCCAGCACTGGACCACAAATCAATCATAAACTCTAGAAGCCCGCCCCATGACTGCATGAGGCTTTCGGGGGACATCCAGACACAAACCATGACAATGTGAAAGCGTTTTCTTATTCTATCATTTAGAGAAATCAGAATGTACAGAAGTTTTTCCTTTATTTTGGTGCATTTTTAACTCAAATGCTAATTAAGATATAATTGAATAAGACTGAAAATTTGCTTGCTTTTTTGAGAAGCCCCCACCTCCATCTCATACTACCCCATTAATACATATGGCGGGATCATTTGTACTTCATTGTACTGTTTTTTTCCCCTTTACATGTAGCTTGGATTTATTTTCATATAAAAAGCTTCCTTATTCTGGTTTTTACAACTGTATAGCATTCCAGTATGTGTGTGTATTTTATTTTGAAATAAAATGTATAGAACAGGTTGAATAAAGGTAAAGCAGGACTTATTAAAATTAGTACTAATTATAGCATTAATGCTAATTAAGTGCATATGGGAAATATAAAGAATGAAAATTAAACACAAAGTCTCCATTTCAAGGGGTTTGATGGAGAACAAATGTACTGTAATTACAGAAGGAACTATTAAAGAGCTTAAGTGCATAGAATAGAAAAAAAGAACAAACCGTTGTGTGAAAAAAACTAACACAAACTCAGGTAAGATTAAGAACAAAACAGAAGAGTACATAATAAATGATATCAAGAATTACATCACTACAGTCCTAGAAATACTGAATATAAGACTAATTCTACCACAATTTGAAACTTCAGATAAAATGCAAACATTTCTTTAAAATACTACCAAGGGACAATGCAGAGAAAAGGAAACAGGTCAGACCTCTAACCCTGGCTCCTGGGGAGGGGGACCTGTCTCCACATACATAAGTGCCCAAGTCCAATCCTAGTAAACTGAATAGCTTGAAGAGCTGTGCAACAGAGCCAAGGTAGCATCCCTGGAAAGTAGACGCTAACTAAAGGTATCTTCATACTAGCAACAGTGTCCACTCAAATCAACCCTGAATACTCAGCCCAAAAGGAAAAATGAGGGGACAAAGTGCCTCCCAAAGTTCCTAACTCCAAAGATGGCCCATGGGTCATAGATGAGGAAATTAAAAAACCAAATGCTTGGATTATACATAGTGATGAAACAGAACAGATCAATAAGGTGTTCAGTGAGCTCAGAGACAATAGAACCGAACAGATAATGGACTTAAAATGATCAGTGAGCTTAAGATACAAGTAAAAAGCTAAGTTAAACAAAGTCATACAAAACATGAATGGGCAGTTTCGCAAAGAAGAGTCCATGAAGAGGAATCAAATATTCAGGAGATAAAAATTCCATCGAATGTATGGGCAGCTGAAGTGACTAGTGTGAGGACAGTGTCAGAGCCAGCAGATAGAGGTAATGCAGTTGATAACATACTTAAAAATGAGAGCATGGAAAAGAGATCCAACAGCAGCTAAGTGATACAATGAAGACTGTTCTGGTTTGGGATTTTGCAAGGGGAACTATATAATACAGGACACATATTTTATAAGATTATAATAGTCACCCAAAGAATCACATACAAAAAGAGAGTGCAGGAAATCCATCCACATATTAAAGACCAAAGAATAGCTGAGGGCCTGGATCCCACAGTAATGTCCTGCATGAGTCTAGCTGAAGACCTAAGTGCTCATAATAATGCCTCCCATGAGTCCAACAGGAGGCCTAGAGCCCATGACAATGTCTCATGCAGGCCTATTTCACAGATTTGTGCTGGGAAGGGCCAAAAATAAGTGTTGGAAGCTAGGAGACCTGAAAGAGGGTTCTGAAGTCAAGCCATGAAGGGTCCTGCTATTAAGCACACTACTGAGGTAGGATAGAATAAAAGCAGGTGGAAAAGATGAAGGAAAACATAACCTAAAAATTATACTTTTAAGAAAAACTTTAAGCACCAGGCCTGATGGTGCACACCTGTAATCCCAGCACTTGGGAGGCTGAGGCAGGAGGATTGCTGCAAGTTTGAGGCCAGCCTGGGTTACATAGTGAGTTAAAGGCCAGCCTGAATTATATAGTAAGACCTTGCCTCAAAGAAAGGAGGGAAGGAAGGAAGGAAGGAAGGAAGGAAGAAGAAAGAAAAAGAAAAGAAAAAGGAAAGAAAGAAAAAAAGAAATAGAAAAAGAAAGAAGAAAGAAAGAAAGAAAGAAAGAGAGAATAGAAAAAGAAAAAGAAACAGACAGATTTCACTTTCAGGACACAAAAGTCACCCAAGGTTGTGATGTCTTTCTCCCTTCCAGGAAACTCACTCTGCAAAAAATTCCTAAGCACGTTGAAGGCAAAATAAGCTTGAAATTGGGCTCTGGGCCCCTTCTTTTCACCTGTGTGAATTATGCTTCCTCCCACATGGGAAGCAGCACTGTGATGGGCAGCACATTTTAGCCCTCAAGCATGTAAATGGTTGCATCCTGACCTCGTCCACCCCGTGAGGCACTTGGCAGACAGTAGGAGTACATATCCTAGATCACCATCTTAAGGATTCTCCAAAGACCACAGAAATCCCAACCCTGGACCATAGTGTGGCTCCCTCTTGAGGGCCCACAACCTATTCTGAGTGTATACTTCTTTCTTCCTTCATAATGAACTGTTCTAACACCTCTCACTGACCTAGCCTATGATGCCTGTAAGTCAGTGAACCCACACCTATCCTATGGGTGGAGTGAGTTGGGGTCTCGTTGCCTCTTTCGGAGATATCCTTGGACACTATCTGGTGACAATGTCACTGTATGTACTGATCCTTTACAGTGGTATTTCCCCTGAGGCTTGAGAGGACTGAGCTATTGGTTATTGGTCATTGCCAGTTATTGGTCATTGCCATGTCCAAGACTGTGTTGTTTTCCCTGATCTTCTATTTGTTTGTTTTTTGAGACAGAGTCTTGTTATTTAGCTCACACTTGCCTTACTCTCTAGGTAATGCAAGTTTGTCTCAGATTTCTGGAGATCCTCCTACCTCAGCCTCCCATGAGCTGGGTTTACAGGCATGTGCCACCAGCCTGCCTTACCCTGCACTTCTAGTGTACCAGATGCAGATGGAAAAAGCTGGCTCTTTTGGCCAGTAGACCATAATAAAAGAGAGGAGCTGATATGACAATATGAAATCATGCCAGCAAGTACTAACGCAAAAAAATATAATGGACAATGGGGCCACATAATGGGAGACATTGTACATGTAACTCATGGAACAGAGCTATGATTGGTTCCCAGTGTGCAGTGTGGAGGAAGTGGAACCTTTAAGAGGCGGGGCCTAAGGGGAGGGAGTTAAGTCCCATGGGTTCCCCTCTCCTGAATGAGTTGGGGATCCAATGAGTTCATTTCCTGGAGAATGGGTTGTTATAAAAAGCAAAAGCCTGGCCCCTCCCCAGCCTCTTGCTTCCTGTCGCGCCACATGGTCTCTCCTGCATGCACTCCCTCCACTGTGATACCAACCAGAGCTGAACAGAAGCTGGCACCATGCACCTGAACTCTTTTCTTTATAGAGCACCCAGCTTCAAGTATAGTATTTTGTAATAGCAACACAGAACAAACTATGATACCAAGCATCAAGTCAAGAAGAAAAGCCATAGCAATAAATATAACATAGCACCGATTACAGCACACAGGATGATGCTTGACTTCCCACAGGCTTCCTGTTCCTTCTGCTCCCTGTCCTTGTTTTGTCTTAAAACAAGGCTGGGCTTTGTGGAGAAAAAAAAAAAAAAAGAAAAGAAAAGAAAAGAAAAAGAAAAGAAAAAGTACAAGACTTTTCATCTCTGACACACTCTTTATGGATCTCTTCAGCATTGAGTTTATAGTTGTGAAAATGCTCACTACTCACACCAATGATCAATGTGGCTTTGCCTGAAAGATGCCATGAAAATTCATTTTCATCTCAGCAGCAATCTCAGACTCTTCTTCTTCCGAAAGGGGTCTTCTAGCCCTGAAGTTTTGATTTTAGGGTAGACACCAGGACTCTAACACTAACAATGCCCAAATGGCAGAATTCCTCAGATGGGAAGTTCTTATAGATGCCACAAATTGTGGCCTGTAAAAAGCCAGTCTGTGCTAGTAACAGTCAGAGTCAGTCTGTGCCTGTTAGTTCTTAAGACCTCTGCTTGCCACTGGACAGTTTCGTATTCAGGGTAACCCCCCTCTTACATCCAGGTGTAGATCCCCAAAAACAAACTTCAAAAGGTATTAGCGATGCTTTATTGAATACATTAACTGACAGCTGTGGTTAATAAATAAAAGGAAACTGATATTTTCTTTGATAACTTCATTTTAAAGTATTTATAAATGTAAAATGCACTCCACTCAGTTTTCCCTTGCTAACATGTTAAAGTTCTTTGTATTCACTCATACAATTCCATACCTAAAGTGATCAATCAAACGCAGTTACTGTAGGCATTACATTTGCCATATTGTACACTCAATATTATGTTTTTCTCTCCTTATGGCCCTGAGAATAAAATATTGAAAAATAATATTTGTTTTCCTTTTAAAAAAAAAAAAAAACAGAAAGAAAGTTCCAAACTTTCTACCTTACCAGAATTTATCTTTTTAGGATGCTATGAAGTGAAAAGGAATGTTTTGGGTTTTGTTTTTATTAATGCTCCATCAGAGGAGATTCCCCGATGTGTGCCATTTCCTTTCCTGGAAGCTGATTATGTGGCATAGTCCACGGGCTGCCTTGACTTCATCAACTCACGCTTCAGCTGCTCAAAGCACACAAACATAATAACGTTCCAGGAGGCGAGTCGCAGGAAGGAAGGTACAAATCTGGAAAAATGTGTGTCACCATTCTATCAGTTAGTTTGAAATTTTTAGAGCTATTAAAATACAGGCAATTCATATTTCCTATTTTGCTACTCTTCTGTAATAAAGATGATTAAGAGCATCTATCCCGCATCTGTCCTCTGGCAAAACTAGTTTCCTCTAGGTGTTCTGTACTGCTTCAATATAGCAAAACCTCAACAATTCTATCTATGTAAATTCCTAAGTAATTCACTGCCATCAAACCAAAGCATAGTATGCAGTAGCTCTTTCTTTTTTGTTTTTCTTTGCTTGGTAAACAGGAAAAAGGAAGCTATTAAAGGAGAAAGCCAGTGAAGAAAGTGGAGAAGGACTGAATAAGAGGACCACTCCAGAGTCAGGAAGTCAGGACTATCTCCATCTCAGCAACACTTGTTCTTCAAGAGGCCATCCAGGTTTAAATAGATTTTGTTTGTTTGCTTGTTTATAGTTTTGGGGGGTTATTTTTAAGAATTCTGTGTAGACCAATTAATTTCTGAATGCCTGTTTGTAGCAATGAGATATTCCCAAAGACAAGGATGTCAACAGTCATATTTGCTTTGCATCTATTCTTAAAAGAAATCTCCTCTATAGATAGCATTTCCCACAGGACTTTTTTTTCACCCCAGGTCTCTTGATATATTTACCAGGTGCATAGAGTTTTTATTGTGGATGTACTATTTTATCTATTTAAAAGTGTGTAATTTTAAGATGCATCACATGTATAATTGTGTGCAATTGACACATTCATCCAGTTCCACACCCTTGTGTCACCTCTAACTCTGCACCCAACATATGTCCATCAACAGATGAATAATAAAGAAAATGTGGTATGTACACACAATAGAGTTCTACTGATCCATAAAGAAGAATAAATTTGAGTCATTTGTAGAAAAACGGATGCACTGGAGCCCATATGTTAAGTGAAATGAATTAGACACACAAGCACAGATATCAAATGATTGATAGGAGAGTTTGGGTTTCTCTTATATGAGAAACCCAAAGTATAAATAATTTGAAGAATAAAATAGAAGATATGGAACTATGAAATACAGAGATAGATCCTTGACAAATGGGAAAGGGAATTAGAGTTGGAGAGAGGGAGGAGAGGGAGGGAAGAGGAAGTGAAAAAGAATTAACATGTGGTATTCACCTATACCAGATCCTCATGATGAATGTAACCATTATGCACAGCAAACACGCACTAACAAGCATTAAAAAAACCCTCTATACTCATTAAGTACTAACTTCCCATGTCCACCCCTCTCCAGCTGCAGTAACTGCTATTCTATTTTCTGTCCCTATGCATCAAACTATGTTAGGTACCTCATTTAAATGGAATCTGGTGGTGTTTGTCTTTCTGTGTATGGCTTATTTTACTTAGCCATGGAATGTTTGCAGTGTTAATCCATATTCTAGCATGCCTTTCCTAGGAGGTTTTTACATTTTGAAAAGAATAAAATTGTTGTTAAGTGGTTAATGATTAATAACTAGTATAACCATTTTAAGTTAATTTTACAATGTATGTTATTTGTATTAATGCATCATAAGTGCAGGTAATCTTGAATATTTTGAATAATGGGCATGGAACTTATTTTATAAAATTTGAGGCACAGTCTTTTATTTTTATTTTTTTTTGTTTTTGGTTTTTCTCCAGTACCGGGAACCGAACTCACGACCTTGCGCTTGCCAGGCAGGCGCTTTTGCCGTTGAGCTAAATCCCCAGCCCCGAGGCACAGTCTTAATTATTTTACCACTAATGTAGTCTTTATGAGGCATGCTCATAAGTTAGATCACACTATATTTTCTTAGAGAGATAGTTTCCAATATAATATAATATTATATTCTGAAAAATATAATCTATGTAATCTACTGCCCAATAGTAGTTTCTAGGTAAGTCTAATAATTGCCCAAAGCACATAATTTTCATTTTTTTTGTATGTGGTACCAGGAATTGAACCCAGGCCCTTTACCCTGAGCTATATCTCCAGCCCTTTTAATTTTCTAAAATTGTAATTAATTGATTAATTAATTAAGGCAGGGTCCAGCTATGTAGTTTAGGCTGGCTTTGAACTCATTATGTAGTCCAGGCTGGCCTCGAACTCATAGCTATCCTCCTGCCTTAGTCTCCTGAATGCTGGCTTTACAGGCATATGCCACCATATCCAGGACTATTTTTGTAAATTTTGAGACAAGGTCACTGATTCAGTAAGTTACCTAGGCTGTGCTCCGCTTTTCAGTTCTGTGCAGCTTCTGAGAGTGCTGGGGTTACAGGATGTGCTCTGATACCCAGCTGATTTTTACATTTCTAGGTCAGTAGCAGTGTCTTTTCTCTATCTTTGCTTTAATAAAATTTGAAAAATTGAGTCTACCGTGTTAAAATAATGAAAATCAAATTTCGTTTACTCATAGTCCTCTATTATGCTTTTCTACTAGTTTATAGATCTCCTTCCTGGACAAGAGCATAATGATTAGAATATGGTCCATGTTTCCCATAGGCTGGAGCCAATGGCAAGGTACTGATTTGGAATATGCTTCTGGGCAAAGCTGGAAAACTTTTACTATCACAGCTTTTTATTTTCTGGCTCAGTGGAACTGATGAATTGGAAAAATCCATGGCAAGGACAAGTTGATATTAAGTCTACTGCATACACCAAGGCTCGTAAGCTCCGTGCTAATAGTTTAGATGCGACAGAGTCTCAAGTAAAAAGCATTCTGCACATGCCATTACAGAGAAGAAGATCATATCCTACCCTTTGAAAAAGGCCGTTGGTCCTTCCTTGTTGAGCATTGTCAGTGCACAGCTGGGCACACTTATGTACTGTCCTGGTGGAGAATTAATAAATCTGGTTTTCACCACATCCACCGGAGAGGACAGAAGCGTTGTGCAAAACCCAGCGATAAGAGCCGACAGTAAATGGCAGGGGACGTCATCTAAAAGAGATCAATGAAACAGGTCAACACAGACTTCTGAGTGGCTTGTTTTTAGTTACCATTGAGATCCTTGACAGCATGAGATCAAGATGGATGTCTTAGAAATAAATAAAATATAGTAAGTGAGGTTATATTTGCACTAGAAGATAGTCGATAGTGCATGGCATGACAGATTTACAAATATGTTAGGAAGGCAACAGACTTTTCTCTATGCACTGGGGCCTGGCACAGTGCCTGATTTATGGGCACCTAATACTTTTTAGTTGCATGAAAGTCACTGTCAAAGGAGAATTTCAACGTGTCTAGAAGCTGTTGTTAGAATATCTTTAGGAAGGTATTCTTGGGCAGGTGAAATCACTGATGAGCTCCTCAGATAGCTACCTCTTTTGAATACAGTACAGGATAGTCTCACTGCCTGAATTCTACTAAGGCTGTGTTTCTAACAACAGTTCGTATTTTAGTATTAAATGAGGGTAATATTGATATTAAAAATGCAGCTGCGTTTTTCTGTTGCAGCAAAGCTACAACAAAAACATGTGTTGCAGTACAATTTTTAAATTTGAGTTATGGGAGTTTTTCTGCTTCTCAAACAGTTATATGTAGTGTTCAAAATTGCTTAATGTTTTTAAAAAGAGATGACTATTTGAAATGAAGGGAAGCCCCAAGATGAAATAGTAGAGGAGTAGACGCGGTAATTAGAGACAGTAGGAAGGTACCTGCTAGTATCTTGTTTCTCACAAGAGCGCCCTTCATCAGGTCATACGTTACTAGCTCTGTGCAGTTGATGATGATATTTCTCAATAGATTGGGAGTAGTCCCTGGAGAAAAAAAATTAAAAGACCATGTTTAGTAACTCTAGCTTGTGAAAAGGGAGTCGCTGGTTAGGTGTATTTTAGTGATTATAAAATCCACCTGTGAGTTACCTTTCCAAAGACTTTTCAAGCTTTCTGTTGTTGCTATAATTCTGTAAGCATTGTAAGTCCCCGTGTAGCGAGGTTTGAGGCCATGTAGATGGCTCTGTGCCTGGAGTCGGACTTTCACGACCTCTGTGGGCTGCCCGATGAATACTGCCACTCCTCCAGTGGTTAAGCCAGCTGCGATCCTACTTCCCAAACTAGGTGTTGCTATCCAGAGAAGAAAAAAATTATTAAAAAAGGACCCCCAAAGCATCCATGTATCTTATTAATTTGTAGTGCTTACTATTTTTATATTCATATAGCTTTTATATTTCCCTAATCTTTGTTCACATGCTGATTATGTACTAAAGCTGTATCAAACTGTAGTTGGGCTAGAAGACTGTGGTTGTCTGATTTTTTTTCAATTAAGACTTTTAAGGGAAAAGAAAATGCTGTCTATTTCAACAGTGGCCTAGTCCTTTCTGGACTTAGCTTAGTCCTTTCTTGTGTTTAACTGTGTTTTTCAGTACTTCAGAACCTTGAGGGAGTAATAGTCACTATGATGTTTGGGTTTCCTCTGATCAATGAAAATATTTATCATTAGACTTAGTGGCCTTAAGAAAAGCCCAATGAAAAAAGTTGCCTCAGGGGCTGGGGATTTAGCTCAGCAGCAAAGTGCCTGCCTGGCAAG